ATACAGGTAAATTTGGAGGTACATATGTATGTATGTCTAAACATACATTGTACCAATTTATATTCTCAAAGGAGACATTCATACAGTTTTATACATACTACTCTATTTTAATTCTGTTAAGTTTATTTGTTTCCGAGATCTTTTTATTTCACTCTTTGTAGAAAAAAAATTTCTACGAAATAAATAAATGACAATGTTTTTAGTGTATGGCAGGTTACATCGACTTTTAAAAAATCAAACGAAAAATTACAAAAGTCAAATACATTGTACATACATATGTATTGTATTCCTTTAGTGAATTTGAAAAATAACGGTCAAAAAATGAAAAAACCAGTTTCAGGACTCCGGACAAAAGAAATTTGCTTTTAGTACCATCTATCGACACAACCAGTTAACTGCAACATTGACCGGGTTCGCAAAATTCATAGTTTCGAAAGATTGTTTTGTTTGTCTTTTCGTTTACGTTTAGTCTTGACGGTTATAACGAGGATTCTGAAGACTATTTGAAAATTAAATGTAAAGAATCAACGGTTACCGAAAGGTCATAGTGGGCCTTCGCCTGACTGCTTGAACGGTTCTAATGTATTGAGTCAACGATTTTTCTACGAAGGTTGACTGTCCTGTCGAAAATTATTCTCATATACCTTCGTTTTGTGAGGTATGTACGAATTTTTAATCACAAATGTTTTCGATTGACATCCGGGATTAACTACTGTCACGAGACATAATTGTCTCTTCTCGTTCATTCCAGCGCGAAGCATCTGTAACAACTAACAACAAATTGCTATTACTTTCAACACTTAACGAAATGCATGAATCGTTGATATTCAAACATATCGACATGTAGCAAATCTTTGTGAAATAAAAACCATTTCTCTATTATTGTTTGAATGTCTCTACGACAGAAATTGTCATCAGACAATTCCGAATGTAGTAATGAAATCTAGGTTTTTAGTTACTGCCTTATAAGGTTTGAAAATAACGTCAAGTTGTAACTTATGACATTTCTAAGTATAGCTTCGCCTATTTCTTCAGATATTGTTTCTTTAGAATAATTACTGTTGACTAAGATATAAAGAATCTCTTTGTTAATTATTTTATACATTACATTTATATTTACAACATGTATCTGATATTTATCTTGTTTCATATTTATAATTTAAGTCATATGTAATAATTGACAATGTTAATCAAGTCTCATGTCAATTAATTGTTTTCATAGGTTCTAAAATATGGAACAAGATACGGAATACATTAAGCTACCATTAGAGGAACGATGCGCGCACAAGGTAATATGTCCTATAATCTTATCTGTAATTCATAATATAATGCATTTATTTTTGTAATAATTTCTTAAATTAATATTATACAGTTATGGAGAGCACGTTTGCATGGTTATAAAGAGTGTGTAACTACATTTCAATGTATCGACGATGAAAAATCACCGGAGTGGAACAAGTTCCTAGGATTTATAAAAAAGTTTGTAGTAGACAGTAATGCTGTAGTTCAAGAAAAAGGGTTGGAAGCAGCATTAGCATTTGTTGAAAATGCTGCAGTGGCTGGAAAGTAAGTTTTATACATCAAAACAAATCTATTGATTTATATATCAATTAATACTTTGGTTTTATTGTTACTACTAATAAAAAACACTGATATACATTTTTATACCACAAAGTGATTAAACAATTATAGATAAAATTAATTCTTTATAATTTTATAGGACTGTTGGCGAAGTTATGAGTGGAATAGTTACTAAATGTATTGCAGCCCCAAAAGTTAAAACAAAAGAGTTGGCAGTGCAAATAATATTAATGTATATAGAAATTGAGAAACATGAAGCTGTTCAAGAAGAATTGTTAAAAGGAACAGAAGCCAAAAATCCAAAAATTGTTGCTGCATGTATCAATACTTTAACAGTGGCTTTAAGGTAGTTAAAAATTATTAATTATTTTACATCTGAAATAAGATAAAGTAAAAAATATTACTCTCTATATATTACGAGAATATTTATTGATTATTTTCTTACCCAATACAGACAATTTGGTCCAAAAGTGATTAATATAAAGCCTCTATTAAAAAAGATTCCTGGTTTTCTTGAAGATAGAGATAAAACAGTTCGAGATGAAGGAAAATTCATGGTCATTGAGATTTATAGGTATATTTTGCTGATATTATAAAACTATCTTATCTTAGGAAAGTAGAATTATTTGTGTAATACAATCCTGTTTGTGTAAATTTTTAGGTGGATAGGTGCACCATTGAAACAACAATTAAATACATTAAAGCCAGTACAAATTACAGAATTAGAAGCAGAGTTTAATAACTTAAAAGAAGAGAAAGTTGTACCAACTCGGTTTCTGAAATCTCATAAACCAAAACAAATATGTGCCGCAAATTCTACAACTGATATTATTGAAGGTAAACAAATGTGAAATTATTTTACAGTATTTTTACGTTTTCTTCCCTAATATCCAGCATTTTCTAATAAAGATGGCAAAGATGATACTGATAGGGCTTCAGTACCAGATATTGATCCTTATGAATTATTAGAGCCAGTTGATATTCTTTCTAAACTTCCAAAGGATTTCTACGAAAAAATTGAGGCTAAGAAATGGCAAGACAGGAAAGAAGCTGTAGAAGCTTTAGAAACTCTTGTGAAAAATCCTAAACTTGAAAATGGTGATTATGGAGACGTAGTAAGAGCTCTAAAAAAGGTATACATTATATTATTATTATTATTATTATATAGTAGTAGTAGTAGTATAATAGTAGTACTATAGTATTATTATTATACTTAAACCACGTTTAATTTCTTCCAATTACATTATTTATTGTTGAAATATTATGAACAGGTGATATCTAAGGATTCTAACGTATTAGTGGTTACATTGGCTGGAAAATGTCTAGCTGGACTAGCTACAGGTCTTAAAAAAAGATTCCAACCTTACGCAACTGCTTGCCTTTCATCAATTTTGGAGAAGTTTCGTGAAAAGAAACAAACTGTAGTACAAGCACTTAGAGAAGCTGCGGATGCCATCTTTCTTAGTGTAAGTTTAACAGAAAGTGTTTTAAATTAATCCTGTGAAATATTTCTTCTATATTTAAGTACAATTTATAATTCATAAAACAGTAATCACTATCGAATTTCTAATTAGGACATTTAAGATATGCATGCTTGCTAAAAATATGTAAAAATAAATTAATTTCTGGAGTTCTATAATTAATACCAATTCAATGAAAATTTCAAATACCGTTATATTATGATTTGATAATAACGTATTTCTGATACATAATATATAATTGCATCTCACCGTGAATATCTAATGAATATTAGATATTGTATTCTATAAATAATGTAATTTCTGTTTAAATTAGATTTCAATTGATGTTTTACTGGAGGACACACTTGCTGCTTTAGAAAATAAAAATCCTGCAGTTAAAACAGAAACTGCTGCTTATTTAGCAAGATGTTTTTCTCACACACCACCACAAAGCTTAAATAAGAAGTTATTAAAAGCATATACTGGTGCACTTCTAAAAGCATTAAATGAATCAGGTATATCGTAGAATTGAATTTCGACAAGATGGTTTTTGTTTTTAATGTATTAAATAGTTAAAATTATTAACCTATGGAATAATATAATGCTAAACAAAGTGTTTTTTAGATCCAAGTGTTCGAGATGCTTCTGCAGAGGCTCTTGGTACTGCCATGAAATTAGTTGGCGAGAAAGCCATGACACCATTTATTACAGATATTGATAATCTGAAGATGACAAAGGTGCTTCTTACCTAACAACTGTTGTAATTAATTTAACATTATGTGTATGCATAAGTCTAGTTGTATTTTTTATTACATTATTCGTTAGCACATTAGAATACAAATTCAACAATTTAGAATATATGCATTTATAGTTTTCGAATTTTTAGTATTTTTGAAAATAACGGTCTGTCAATAATAAAAAGCGAGCTACTCTCTGCGTTATGTATTCATGTACATTCATTTTTGTTTATTAGATTAAAGAATGTGCAGACAAAGCTGTAATACATATTAAAGTTCAGAATCCGTCAAAAATGATTACTGAAAGGCCGAATACAGCGCCAAGTAAAATCGAATCAGCAGCGAAAGCTAAGGATGCAGATTTCAAAGCTCCAAAGAGACCGACTACAGGCATAGTTAAGAAACCCTTAGCTAAAAAGCCATCTGGTTTATCTCTAACAAACTTAGGTATTCAATTATTAAAGACCGATAGTAATAGAGTTTTTTAAATTGCACTTCATTCCTGCTTTTTTTCCAGCTGTTTCAAAGAAGCTCTCAACTGCAAAAACTCAAACAGAAAAAAATTATAGTGCCGAAGAAATAGATGAAATGGCTATACAATATTTAGCAGCAGATATTCTTTCAGGTCTCGTTGATACTAATTGGAAGACCCGTTTATCTGCAGTCGAACAACTTCTAGAGGTAGTTGACGTATTCCCTTTTTCATGTTTATAAGAATAATATAAAGAATAATTATATTTATAATATAATTATATTTTAGTTTGTGAAACAAATGAATTCATCAGAAGTACCTACACAAGTGATTGTACGAACGGTAGCAAAGAAGCCAGGTTTTAAAGATACAAATTTTCAAGTCCTGAAATTGCGGTTGGAAGTAGTAAAATATTTGGCAGAGAATTTCCCATTTTCAAAGTAAGATACACATTTAATTCCATCTTCGAATAAAATGTTCGTGTTGATTTACTTCAATATTTTTCTTTTAGTACTGTTTGTGAATATTGTCTCATGGACATAACAGAGAAATTGGGAGATGCGAAAAATAGTACAATCGCAGGTGAAACTCTTTTAACGATTGCAGAAGCAACTAGTTTCGAGTATGTAACAGATGAAATAATAGCGTTTGCTTTTAATCAGAAGAATCCAAAAGTTCAGCAAGAGACATTATCGTTAATATGTAGAGGTCTCACAGAATTTGGCTGTGTGTAAGTATTTCATTTTCTTAATGAATGCAACTTCGGCGAAGAAATCCTGTAATATTCATAGTACGTGTGTGTTTTAGTATCAATGTTAAATCATTAATGGATAATATCAAAAAAGCAGTTGCAGCAACAAATCCTAGTGTTCGTACTTCAGCCATTACTTTATTAGGTACGTTGTACATGTTTATGGGAAAACCACTGCTAATGTTCTTTGAAAATGAAAAATCTGCGTTGCGTCAACAAATTGAGCAAGAGTGTGAAAAGGTAACTACTAATTCTAGTATATCTTCGTATAAGTTAAACTTAACGCGAACATATTGTACTTAACAAAATGATTATTTCTTAGCATAATGGTGAAAGTCCTCCAATACCAATTCGTGGAGTAAAAAACAAAAAGGGAAAAATAAGTGATGACGACGATGACGAAGCTGAAGTGGATAAAAAATCTGCTTGTAATAGCGAGCTTGACATAAATAATCTCATTCCACGAATTGATGTCAGCAATCAAATTACAGAGAGTCTTCTGAATGAATTATCTGATAAAAATTGGAAAGTAAGTAATACATCTCCTATGATAAGAAACAAAACTGTTTATATAATACTTATTAATTGAAAACTTTTTTAATACTAGGTGCGAAACGAAGGCTTACAAAAGGTAAATGCTATTATTTCAGAAGCGAAATTTATAAAGGGTTCTATTGGTGATTTGCCTCAAGGATTAGCTCTACGATTGGTTGATAGTAACAGTAAAATAGCACAATCAACCCTAGGCATATGTCAAGCATTGGCAGTGGCCATGGGTCCACCAGCAAAGCAACATATTAGAGTTCTATTCCCCGGATTCATACAATGTTTGGGCGACAGTAAAAATTGGATTAGAACAGCAGCGATATCATGCATAAATACATGGGGAGATCAGTGTGGGTATAAAGAATTTTTTGATGGAGAAATAATAGGTGACGCATTAAAGTCCGGATCACCAGTGCTCAGAGCTGAATTGTGGAGTTGGTTGGCACAAAAATTACCATTGATTCCGGTGAAGCAAGTACCTAAAGAAGAACTTCTTGTATGTCTTCCATACTTGTATAATAATTTAGAGGATCGTAATTCCGATGTTCGGAAAAATGCTCAGGAAGCAGTTTTGGGTTATATGATCCATCTTTCTTATGAAGCAATGGCTAGGAATACAGAAAAATTGAAGCCTGGATCTAGGACAGTGGTACTTGCTGCATTAGATAAATCTCGACCAAACTTACCTATGAAACCGTTACCCAAGAAACAGCCAGTGGAAGAAAATAATCAAAAAGTTATTAAGAGTGCAGGAGCCGTAAAGGCGGCAAAAACATTAGTGAAACCTAAACAGAATCAAGCCACGTCAAAACCTGGTAGTGCACGCAAGAAAGATGACGATGCAGACACAAGTCCTTTGTTGGTTACGAATAATCTCAAACATCAGAGAGTAATCGATGAACAAAAATTGAAAGTTTTAAAATGGAATTTCACAACACCTAGAGAGGAGTTTGTTGAACTTTTGAAAGAGCTTATGACTGCTGCAAATGTAAACAAAACTTTGTTGGCAAATATGTTTCATTCAGATTTCCGATATCATCTTAAAGCTATCGAGGCATTAACCGAGGTAAATATTCAAATTGTTTACACGTAAAATGTATTATTGTTTTGATCTTCATCGGTTATTTAAAAACTATTTCCAATTTAAGTTAAGGTTATCCTAAAGATAACATTTATCTAATATGAAATGTGATTATAAATTTCAGGATTTGCCTAACAATAGCAAAGCATTAGTGTCTAATTTAGACCTGATCCTCAAGTGGTTAACATTAAGATTTTTCGACACAAATCCTTCAGTATTATTGAAAGGTCTAGAATATTTACGTGTGGTATTTAATCTATTAATAGAAGATCAGTACCATATGTTGGAGAATGAAGCAGCATCGTTTATTCCATACCTCATCATTAAAGTAAAGTCTTTTTTATATTTTCCTTACTTAACTCATATTTTTATCAGTAATACATATAAAATAAACATTTTTGTTTAGATTGGAGATCCAAAAGATGCAGTGCGAAATGGAGTCCGAGCATTATTTAAACAAATTGCGTTGGTATATCCAATAAGCAGATTATTTTCGTATATAATGGAAGGTTTAAAATCTAAAAATGCTCGACAAAGAACAGGTATCACCATATATGAATATGAATACACAAAATATAATTAGGCAGCATTAAACAGTTTTATTTTTTCAGAATGCTTGGATCAACTAAGTTCCCTTATAGAAAATTATGGAGTATCTGTTTGTCAACCATCTCCAGCATTTGCATTAAAAGAAATAGCAAAGCAGATAGCAGATCGCGATAATTCTGTTCGGAATGCTGCCTTGAATTGTATAGTTCAAGCATATTTCCTTCAAGGAGAACGGGTGTATAAACTTATCGGCCAGGTAACAATTATTTAAATAGCATTGCTCAAATCCACGATCAATTTTTATATGAGATACTGCAATTGAGACTTTTATCGCAAATAATATCCTTTAAAGATTTATCAGAAAAATTAAATATGTATTTATCATTTAACTTATTTTACTGGGAAAATTGAATTTTGCATAACTGTTTAAATAGATTTAAAGATGTTCATCAATCTTTTGAACTTTTCATTTATAGATATCAGAAAAAGATCAGTCATTATTAGATGAACGTATCAAAAGGGCAGCTAAAAATCGTCCAATGAAATCGGCTTCAGCAAACAAACTTGCACACCCTGCAAGTACAACTCCTATCGCTTCTAATGAAGACGTTAAAACAGAATATGAAGAAGAAAATGAAGAAATACTCGAGCCACAACCTGCTTCACCACCATCACCACTACCACTACAGCAACAAAATGAATTGTACGTATAACATATTGTTATTTTTATTCAAGGTTTTATTTGCATGTATATACTTATAAAACCATACTTCATACTAATGCTTTTGTTTATACGATACTAAGTTTTTTTTCAATACTGTGATTAAGCAACAAAAGATAATATTTAATTTGTTTTCTATTGATTTTTTAATTTTATTTATGTTGGCACGTTTTTGCTTTTTAATGCTTCTTCAGGGGAAATGTAACAGACATAGATGCAGTAGCACCTGACAGCACAGCCGACGCAATACAGACGTGTCCTATGACTAATGAACAAACTTCAAAAACATCGCCAGTAAAAAGTACCACCATGTCGCCTCAAAGTGATCACGAAGATAATATTAAAACGTTCGTGCTTCTTATGTATCCATTTACAGTGCATTATGCACGTCATGGTGGCGGGACACATAAAATTGCAGTATCTATTTACTTTTTTCCTATTCTTTCTTTCTGCTTGTTTTTAAATACTTCTATATTTTGTTTATGAGAATGTTGGATATTTTTGATAATATAGAAGTGATTTATCGATAAAAAAGTAAGGTGACAGATAGAAATAAATTTTAAGTGTTTAAATATTGTTAGTAATTAGCTTATAATTAACTGCAGGATAAACACAGATTAAGACTCGTAGTATTTTATAGCTTAGAAATGATAAAAGCGAAATGAGATGATATCATACACAGATTGACATCTAGATACATACCTTTAAAATATATTTAAAATATCGTAATGTGTTTTTAGTTCACTTTTTCCTAATATTATAGTATTGTAATTTGTGTATAATTTAATCATTTAGATGTAATTTAACATCACCGCAGAAAAAAGTAACAGGTCCATTTGGACTTGATATGGATTACTTACAAAAAATTGAATCAGAGGCGCCTGTAAAATTCAATAACCCTGTTCTTGTGGAAGTGAATCTAACTGAGCTTGAAGCTCTACTCGAATCTCCAAATACAGCAAATCTACCTAAAGTGCCGTGAGTAATTTATTTACTACCAATTTAATAAGTAATCAGTAATGGAAAATGAAAATTATCGTTCATAATGCGCATGCATAAATTTACTATTTCAATTTGAGAGCATAATATTGTTATTATACGGTATATATTCCAGAATGATACCAATTTCTCCTCCGAAATTGTTGGTATCAAAGTCAACAATGGTTACACAACAATTGAATACGGCCAACGCAAGTAAAGAAGATAGTCTTGAACGCAAAATTCTTGCAATGTCTAGCTTGGATTTAGCTGTTGCGATTCAATCAATGAACAGTATAGATAATGTTTGTATTTATAACGCGTGTGTTACAGTTTACTTCACTTGTTATATATGTATATATATTTATTTATTTTACTTTTTGTAGTTGATTAAATCCCATCAAGTTCTGAATTTACAATCCAAAGAAGATAAATTTATTGGTTCAATAAACATGCAATTGAAACTTTTGCAAACATATCCTTTACAACAAGGAGGAACAGATATATCCAAAGGTTTTAGGAGCACATTTATGGTTATTTTAGCGGTAAGATATATATATACATATACGGATCTCACAAGAACTGAATTAATTAACACGATTAAGTAAGGGATAAAGAAAATGATAAATTTGATATTATAATATAATATAAACATTCGAAAACAACTAAAACGAATACGTTTATAAAATGTGAGATTGTCAAATTTTTAATCAGAATTATATGAGAACTATGTAAATGTTTATAACATTGTAATATGTAAATGTTTTTTATTGTGATACAGTTCTACGATAGCGGAGTTCTTGGAAAGAATGTTCCGTTGATTCATTTAAAGGAACTTGTGGATCAAATGATTAGTTTGCTAGCTGAGCATAAATTACACCATTTACATCAGGCTGACGTATATTATCGTGTTATTAACAACATTGTTTGCAAGATAATAGATAATTCAAATCATACCACGATTATATGGTAATATTCTAAACAGTCATAGTTTCATTGACAGTTTATTAGCCAGGATCAAAATTGCCATCATAAATATAGTGATTATTATTTGTTGTAAATATATTACTTTATATACGTTTAGAATACGAAAATAAATAAATGATTAAGTAATTATGCAATCATATATTTAAACTATTTTATGGGATTAAATAATTATTTGAAATTACCTGGTAATCGGATACTGTCCTTTTCTTAACAACTTGGCCAATGAACTGTTAAAAGTGGGAGCTATATATAAATATTTAATGCATTTAATATATTTAATGTTTTGCAAATATTTAGTGCTTTAATAAAGTTGCTCCATGGATGTGCTGAATCTAATGAACCTTCCAAATATGAAGAATTAGTTATGAAATGTTTATGGAAGATAGTAAAAACAATCCCTAACTGGGCTGGAGATTTAAATTATGATACTATTCTTCTGGAAGTTCATCGCTTTTTGAAAGTATGTATTTTTTTTATCTATCTGGTATAATTATTTAATAATGTTCATGTTTATAATTTGATGTTTTTTAGGATTATCCTACCCTGTGGTGGAAACTAAGAAAATCTGACACTCCATTACGAACGATTAAGACAATTCTTCACAGTATGACACGTATAAAGGGCAGTACAATTCTCAGTCATTTGACTCGAATAAATAACACGAATGAATCGGAATTACATACCTATCTCGTAAGGCTGATCGCGGTTAGTTCAATTAATTATACATGCGATAGTGACTTCTATGTTATGGTATACAAAAATTCTAACACATTGTACGATTTTACAGACTTTCAAACCTGATGAAATTAATAATCCAAGAACAATGATTAAATCAAGTAATAGTGGTAAAGCACAAGAACACCTATCAAAGTTTACTCACCAACAATTATCTGAAATATTTAAAAAAATTGGGTCGAAAGAACACACACAAGAAGTACGCGAAATAATTTATTTTATGTGTCATTGCATCATTAATATTTATTCCACACATTATTTACACTGCTTTTCAAACAGGGTTTAATACAGCTGTATGATTTTAAACTTCAATATCCTGAGGCTGACGTACAACCTTTCTTGATAAAGTCTCACCAATTCTTCCAGGATTTTATAGAACAAGGGTTAAGAGACATCGATCAAGCAAGAAAAAATCAAAATCTTATATCACAAACTAATAATCAATATTCAACAGGTAAATAATTTATACAAAATAAATAATTTATCAAAATCTCATATCACAAACTAATAATCAATATTCAACAGGTAAATAATTTATACAAAATAAATAATTTATCAAAATCTCATATCACAAACTAATAATCAATATTCAACAGGTAAATAATTTATACAAAATAAATAATTTATCAAAATCTCATATCACAAACTAATAATCAATATTCAACAGGTAAATAATTTATACAAAATATTGAAATAAATTTATTATTAAATTTAACATTGTTTATATAATTCGTATATCATAGGCGATCCCACAGGACATGACGAGAAAAGCCTAATGGATCCGTTGCACAGGCTCGAAAAACTTCGAGCAAATGAAGCACAAAGTAAATCTACTACTCAATCAAGACATGAATTAACCCACTTCGACACTAATTAGGTAAGAAAACTATAAACTATAAAAGTAAAGAATACAAATTTAAATTAATTTTCATTCTCTTTAAAAATTGACCAATATAGTATTTGTGCGATATTCCACACGTTTATTGTTTATATGTATAAAGTAAATTCTGTTTCACAGGATTGCAGTGCTTAAATAAATGGACGAAGAACCAATAATACATATAACACAATATTAAATAACGTACATAGTGCATAGATAACGAATGTTAACAAAAATACCCAATGTAATGTTATGCCGTTCAGTGCAACATTAACTGTAGCATTTACGTTCGGATTTTCAGTAGTTACATATAGATCATACAATTACTAACTGCGTCAGGTTTATGTGTTACAATATTTAATGGAACTATGACCGCGTTATACTACTCATATTTATGCGAATTTTATAATAATTAAGCTATAAGAAGGAAGTACTATGCTCTCTTTGGACTGATTTTTACAGTCGATTTACATTTCGTTATTTC